AAAAAAAAAAAAAAAAAAAGAGATCCAGTGTTCACTAACATAACAGGGTGACTATAGTTAACAATAATTTATTGTATATACCAAAATATATAGAAGGGAAGATTAGGAATGTCCCCAAAACAAAAACATGATAAATGTTTGAAGTGATATTTATCTCAAATACTGAGATTTGATAATTAAATCTTACATCAATCTTTGATGCATGCTTGTATCAAAGTATATGTACCCCATATATGTAGAACTATTATGTACCCATATGAAAACTTTTTTAAAAAGCCCACAAAATTCCTTTTTTGTGGGAGAATTCACTGTCAGATCCATCAGTTCCTCCTGTAATTTAGCCACACTGACATTTAGTTCAGACAGGTTCTGGGGTGTAACATCCAAAGCAAACTAGAAACTTTACATATAATTTAGCCTCATCGAAACATGTTAATCTTTTCAGAAATTGTGACTTTATTTGCAGCAAATTCCGCTACAAGTCTCAGTGTGGCTTGTTATCTGACAGTGGAGTGACCCACCATTGACTGATCAGCCTGAGGTGAGAGGTTTTCTGGCATGTGTACTTTCAGTGCTAAAACCAGGATGGTGAAGAGCAATCTGGGATGGCTGTTACCCTACTTACCATTCAAATATTTGCTGAATGAAAGACGAATCTGATTCTACTGAATCTGTGACACTTCAACAATGAAAAATGGATAGTTTCCAGTTGTCATTTACTCAATTTTCCTATCCAATTTGAACCTCAAAAATCTAGGTTTCCTTGAACAAAATCAGCAATGCTCTTGTTTGTTCTTCGTTTATAATCCAAAATTCTTTAGGCTCAGGTGTCTACATATAATCTACAATCAGATGACACCACATATCCCTAGCCCCATCTCTCCTTTTGAATTGTAGACACACATATTCATGCTCCTACTTGACATCTCTCCTTGAATATTTAACAGTAAATGAATCATAATTGTCCAAATGATGGGTAATAATGATTTTCTCCCCTGAAACCTGCCACTCTGCAAGATTTCTTCATCTCAATTAATTGTACTCCCATGCACATAGGTGCTCAAACCAAAACTTAAAAGTCTGTTTTTCCTTCCCCTCCCTTATACCCTACATTCCATTCACCGTCAAGTCCTGTTGATCCCATTACAAAAAGAAATCCTAGATCCATCTACTTCTCTCCATCACCCCTGCTATCAGTATTTAATTCAACAAATGTTCAGAGTGCCTAACAGTTGTAATGCAGCAACGCTAGTCCAGGAACTAACAACGCAGGGGCAAAGGAGAAAAAAGCCCTGCCCCTCAAGAAACTTATAAAAACCACTACCATGGATTCAGACTAATAAGCTTTCTAATTGGTTTACCTGCTTCATTCCTTCTCCTCATTCCAGAACACCCAGAATATTTTCTTACAGCAGCTAGAGTAATCTTCAAAAATATTCTTTCCTGTTTAAAACTTTCCAGTGGGTTCCCATCTCACTTAGAATAAAGTCTAAGTCTTAGCCACAGTCCTCAAAATCCCACATGTCCTTGGTCTCTGCCTGCCTCTGAAACTTCTGCGTCAGTGCTGCTCCTGCTAGACGTCCTTTGCACATGTTAATCTTTCTGCCCAAAATATTCTTACCTGTGTTTCAGGTACCTAGACTACTTCCTCACTCGTGTCCCAGCTCAACTGTGATATCCTCAGGGGCCTTCCCTGACCACTGCCCACCACGCCAGCTGCTCTTTGTTCTATTACCTTGTCTTACTTTCTTCTTTGCACTCGTAGTCTTTGTTTTCATGTCTACTGTCTGTTTAACCTGTTAGAATGCAAACTCCCTGTGAGATGGGATTGTATCTACTACTTTAGTTCACTATTGTTACCTTGGGGATCTGGGGAGGAAAGCAGAGAGGCAGAAAGGAAAACACATCTTACAGCAGCTCAGCTTATCTCTTTAACAATTTCTACAATTACCAATTCTGATTGCCATGGACAGTCCAGAAGTCCATATTAACCTCTCTCAATATTCCACAAACTAGTTAAATATGTAAACATAAAGAAAATTCACAATCTTAAAAACTACTTTCAGTGTGTCACAAAACTAAACTATGCCACAAGATTCCAGAAGATAGTATCAAACTTTTCTTTTGAAGTAAAAACAAAACACCACATCGGGACTTCTATCACAGAAGAAAAACGTTTCAGGTGGCAACTGAACTCACCTTTTCTGCATTTACTTCAGAGTGTTTTCATTTCTTACTGGAGACAGGTGGTTAGACCCTATTTGTATCCATGCGCATTCACGGATCAGGTTTTTGCTAAAAGTTCTAAAGCGAACCACATTTGATCCTTGGGTTACATGTTTGACTCTCCCTTACTCTCAAGAATTGAGACATGGAAAAACTTCTTTGTGGGAAGTTATTATATTTTACTGCAGTTTTAAAGTATATTTACTGATTTTTAAATGTCTAATAAAGAAATAATTAACTTACACAGATTTCCAAAATGATCAATTAATAAAAATCAATTAAAATTCATAAAAAATACTCTCTCATTCAAACAATTATTCACCAACACAATGATTGCTTTGTACAAGAAGGGGGCAGGGGAAACCCTTGAACACACTTAACTTACCTCTTCAAAGCCCATTTCAAATAAACATTCAACGGCTCCTCTGACAGGCAAGAGTCTAGTAGAAAAAGTTGTGTTTCCAATCCGGATAGATCTATATTTTTCATCATTAGGGTTTCTAATAAAAAAAATCAAAAGTTTGATCATATGTAGTAATTTATATTTTTCATAGTGCTTTTGCAATCCTTTTAACATTTCATGCTGCCCATTGTCTAAACTACTGTGGTAGAGACTCCCTCTTTAAAGAAAGAGGAAGCAGTCTGGAAAAGTGCAACTTTGTGATTCTTACCTTCATACACATTTAGTACAACCCACTTAATTTCATAGCTGATAATGCTGCCATTACGATAATTCATGTGACATTTTTATTTTGTGCTGTTAAAGCTAAGCACCTTTTTGAGTCTTTTCGGTTGTTAAAAAAAAAAAACCAAAATCCATCTAAGTTCCAGAAGATTTGTCCACTTTGTTCTAATGAATTTGTCCACTTTGTCTCTCATCATTTAGAACAGTACCTGACACATGGATGGTAGCTAATAAACATTTGTGAAATGAACAAATAAAGTAATTAAAAAGCTATATAAGAATGGATCACAGTTCCTTAAAAACTTTACTTTTGACAAACATGAACTTAGGTATACCTTTATAGTCATTTGATTTTCTTTCATCAATGATAGTTTATACTGTAAGTTCTGCTTTAGTTCATGATATATTTTTGACACAGAGTCATAATAAAAGGAAAATATAAATTTCTTCTATCATAATTAAGATTCCAAATAGTATACATAAGATGAGCAACCAGCACATTAAAAGCTTTGTGATTTTTAATAACCCTAACAAATCAGGTTTAAAAAAATAATCAGAAAGAAAATATAAAGTTAAGATAATCATAGTATTATATTTCAAAGACCCTCAAAACACAGTTTAGGTGAAAAGTTTCATATCTGATACCATCTGCCTTAAAGTGGTAGTGGCTTCCATAAGCACCATATTAAGAAGGATTCGGAGGCTGTGGCCTGGAGTCCATAGGATAGGCGTGCTGTGGCCATCTGTCTGGGGTAAGAAATGGGGTGTGGGCAAATGCTAGCAACTGATTTATCATCTGTGCCCTAACTATACATGTTTCTCTAGATATTCTGATGTAAAAACAAAACCCTTAAAAAAATATTTTAGGGTGGCACCTGTGGCTCAAAGGAGTAGGGCGCCCGCCCCATGTGCCGGAGGTGGTGGGTTCAAACCCAGCCCTGGCCAAAAACTGCGAAAAAAAGAAAAAAACAAAACAAAAAAAAAGGCAAAAGAAAATTTGCCATTAAAAATATATATATATTTGGCTCGGCACCTGTGGCTCAAGGGCTAATGCGCCAGCCACATACACCTAAGGTGGCAGGTTCAAATCTAGCCCAGGCCTGCCAAAACAATGATGGCTGCAACCAAAAAGTAGCCAGGCATTGTGGCGGGTGCCTGTGGTCCCAGCTACTTGGGAGGCAGAGGCAAGGGACT